GTCAAATCTGTACATTTTGTCTTCAGAATTTTAAAATATTGAAAACTTCAAATTAAATCCTCGAATAACGGTAAAGTTTGAGGTTTTGTCGAAACCAACAAAGTGAATATAGGTAAATAGAATGGCAGATCAAAATTAATAAGAAACTTTCGCAATGTGTAATTAAATTCACTTTAACCAAGACTTTTCTTAAAATAAACGTTTTTTTTTACGAAAAAACAAAGAACGATTTGAAATGCAACATACTTTTCACAATTGCACGGAAGAATTAGTTTTGTATGACACGTCAGTTAGACGACAGGTCCGTCAGAAACACAAACTATTGAAATTAATTCGAAGTGGCGATTCCCATACAAAATTTTTAGATTTTTTTTATTTTTTAACTGTTCTTTTAAGTTTTCCTTATTTTTTTTATTTATAAACCATCCCCGTAATATAAAAAATTCTTCAAATCGATCAAGCCGTTTTTGAGTCTTAGCGAGACTAACAGGAACAGCAATTGATTTTTATTATATAGACGATTAAAAAATGGAGGTTGGTGGTAGAAAGGTGAAAATTTAGGGTGATGTGTATTTTTTGATGCTAATTCTTAAAAAAATAAAAATAAAAAATTTTGTCCAAAAAATAGACAAAAACTTTTTAGGGTGGACCATCCTTATCACTTAGGGGTTTAAAAAATAGTTTACAACCTATTCTCAGACCTACCGAATATACATAAAAAATTTCATACAAATCGGTCAACCCATTTCGGAGAAGTTCGGTTACAAACACTGTGACGCGAGAATTTTATACATAATGCATTATTATTTTAGAACAAATTTCATTATCATAAAAAAGGTTATACTGACTCGACCTTAAAAGATGGACATATGCTGTCGCGGACTTTTCTTTAGAACTTTTAGAGGGGAACAATTTCGTCATACATGATTTTTACGTAACTTTAACCGTTTAAGCAGCGTCAGCAACGGAAGCTGTCAAAGGAGGAATAATTTTCCCGTTTTTCCGAATTTTTCATTGCTACTTCGCTCCTAATGATCGTAGCGTGATAGGCTATATGTAGATATGGTACATAGACTATCCAACACAAAAAGATTTTTTGAATTTGAACCAGTAGTTTCTGAGATTAACGTGTTCAAATAAACAAAAGCTTCAGCTTTATTATATAAGTATAGATAACGCTAACAAAAATTTATCTAATCATGCCCACCAACAACGTGATGACATTCCCGCAAAATTTATTTTATTATACACCCACACTAGTGTTTTGTGATTCCACCCTACTTTTGTTTATTATTATTATTATAATTATTATTACTCAACATCACTGTTCTTTTACCACATTATACGTCGCTTAATAAACGTAGAAAATGTCTCAGCTCTACGGGAGTCTGCTTTCCAAACGGACGGCCCGGGTATGATTCCCGGCGTTTCCAACATTTTTTTCCCTCCAAATCAGAAACAGCACATTTTAATTTCACAATGTGAAAAAATAATGATAGAATAGATAACTGTTATTCTTACACTGTAGTTATCCATGTGCTTTTCAAAGAATTCTTTTCATTATTCTTAGTACGATACATCAAGCAATGCACTGGATGTAATAAACAAAACTAAAGTATGATTCATTAATGAATGCATAAAAAAGGATCTCCAGGAAGCTCTACAGCAATAACATATTCTGCGTCATTTGCTTATCGGCGGAGTGACCGTCGCGCCCAGACTATAAACAATTCGTCCAAATAGAAACAAGCATCAATGGTGGAACATGGGTTAAGGTAACATTTTAAAAGAAGCTTGAATATCGTTGAGCAAAACAAAGGTGGATGTTGTAGCCTAAGCAAAGTGTAATACATCACTGAATGTTGAACAAAAATGTGGTCTAAAGTTCCTTACACACAACTTTCCTCACCCTGGAATACAGTCGAACAAATACAGAGTTTAGCTTTATCGAAATAATGCCAACGTGGTTAACGAAACTGGTCGACAAATATTTTGTGTCTTTTCGGTGTTGTAGTAAATACAAAATGTTCGAAAAATTATAGAATTTAATTTGCAAATTTTCTTTTTACTTCTTGAGCGTAAGCAAAAAAATATTGTAAACGAGTCTATCAGGGGGGAGAATGGCTACTTTTATGTTCTCTCGACATTTCCGCAAACGTAATTCCATAAAATAAAAAAATAAAATTTCATGATTCACAGAGTATGAAAAATTAGGTCTCCTGGTTCTGTCTATCTCCCGTCTGTCCAGATTTTTATTAGGCAGATAATCTCCAAAACTACCGAACCGATTGTTGTCCAATTTTATATATATATATGTTAGGAATATCCTGTACATGGTAAAACGCTAACAAAACTTTGCCGAATCTCCCTACCAATGGCGTGACATCTCAAAATTTTTCATAGTAGGTAAGATGTAAATTTTATAAAATAGCATACTCCTGTATTTGTTTTATTGTTCAAATCTCTAAAGCGATACACCTTAGTGTTATTTTTAGTATTACACTGGATGTGTCCGAATTGATGTATGTGTTCTTGCTGAAATAATGTTGGGCGAAACATTTTTAAATGGGAAATTCACCAATACATACAAATATAGTCTTGCCATTTTTCAATGCATTCCAATTTTTGGAACAATTGTTAATCCAGTTCCTATCATGGGTTGACGACCAGGTCACTCCAGAGTTGCCGACCAAATATAAACAAATGTGTTTTCGTAACATAATGTGATGGAATGTTAGACAGTGGAAAGTAGCGGCGTATGGGTGATTAAAGTATGTCAGATTAATGAATTGAAAAAAAATAAGTTCTGCAAGATCTCTAAAGAAATGTATAGTGTGTCATTAAAAAATAAATGAATTGTGGTAGAGAAACAAAAAAAATATAGCGTATCAAAACCAATTTATATGATGTAATTTACTTTCCTAGGCGGTTCCTGGTATTACTTATCTATATCTATTTTAATGTATAAGGATTATCACGAATACAAATTCGCAAAATCATTTTTTTTCATTTTTCAAAGAAGAAGGATTTGTTGTACTGCACTTCGGGGACGAAGGAAGTCCTGTCGAAATAACTTTCGATCAACTTTTTAGGAGGGTAAACAAATATATTTTTATTAAAAATTTGCCATGCTTACGATAACTTTAAAACGTGTGCAAGATTTCAAAGCATTCGGTTTTACAGATTGAAAAGTAATATGCAAAATGTTATACAATTTAGATTTTTTCCAAAAATTTGGATCACTCGGATTCTTAAACCACAGGTGCAGGACTATATTATTTTATACAATTTAAAACCCACTTGCTCTGTACAATTTTGAGGTGATGTCAAAAATTGTTGGTGGGGATGTTTAGGGAAAGTTTGGTTAGCGTTTTAGCATCTACATGATATACATAATCCACTTATAAAATTTGACAAGTCTGTCCGGTAGTTTCGGAGATTATCTGACAAACAGACAGACAGACAGACATACGGAAACAGAAGATATATGTTTTTGTACTCTAGGGGTTATTTCACATTGACAAAGTGTTAAAGTAGCCAGTCGCCCGATGGACTCATTAACTATACTTTTACGCTTGGGAAGTAACAAAAAACGCAAAATATAATTTTATGATTTCTAAAAGAAGCGGAATTTGTTGGCCCATACTTCAAGAGTGAAGGAGTGCTGTTGAAATAAGCTCCGACCAATTTTTGTGAACATCATTCTGTCAATTCTATTAACTGTATTCCACGAATGTAAGTGCAGATAAAAAGACCTGCAACACTCACCTTAAGAATAAAGTGCTTATTCCAAAAATCAGATCACAGTTGGTGTGTGTGAGATTGTAAAGGTTGTTTTCTCAATTCAAGGGGCCAAAAAAATCTCTTTTACATTACCGCTAATTTTGATTTGTAACGTGGTTTATTAATAGTTATTTATGTAACAAGTGTTGAAAACGGTCCATTGCATTACGAACGGGAATACGGCGCGAGACGCAGTCGAGCGCTGTATGTAAGTGAGTAATGCAATGGAGTTTTCACACGAGTATCATACAATATTTTTTGCGCTGCCTTTTTGAAAAAATAACATTTTTCAATCGCTAAAAGAATAAATATTACTGAACCGAAATTATGTTGGTATTGAATTTATCACCAAATACGTCAAATACCAATCTGTCAATTTGTCCGGGCTAGATTTTGAATTTCAAAGTTGAAATGGAAAAAATCGTGCACGTATTCAGAGAACTGCAGATAAAGCAACTGCAAATTTGTTGCCTGCAAAATCCGCAGGTCCATATGAAGCCGAATATCAAAAATTCATCAAGTGGTGCGAGGAAAATAAAATCCGCGAATTTTCTGAAACGACGCTCTTGGTTTATTTCCAAATTAAGTCGGAAATTATGAAAGCATCCACACTGTGGACAATATATTCAGTTCTGAAAAGTACTCTTGGCATCAAACATAACATAAATCATTGGAAATTTTATAAATTAACAGCGTTTTTAAAGCGGCAGAATGACACAAGCCCAAGAAGTCTGAAATACTTACCAGTGGAAACATTTTTGTATACGGCTCCAGATCAGAGAGAATCTTGTGATTATGATTCAGCGTGAGGTTGCGAATAACGTCAACTTTAAACGGTTTTTTTAATTAACAAGAACTACTAACAAACAGTAATAACATAATAGTTGTCAACAACATAAACCAAACCACCGATAGTGTCAACTGTCAAATTACTACAAATCTGAATTTTGATCAACAAATTCCCCTATTTAAGATTACAACGTAAATTGCACTTTTTTTAAATTTCGAGCCACTTTTTGTTACAATAACTTTAGATACATGATTATCAGTTAGTAGTAATTACTTTGTGATAATCAATTTATTTTTTCAAAGCTTAAATTCCTCGTTTGTATTTTGCAACACTAGATCCTTTTTCATTGCCATTTCGACACGCCACGTGTCAACGTAAAATGTCAATTACAACTATGGCAGCGCAAAAAAGTAATATCTGCGCTTACCTGGAAGTAAACTTGTCCTTTATCTACCCATCCAATCACCATATCGGCTCCAGTCATTCGTCCATCTTTTGAAAATCCGAATCCAACGTACCCTAGTGTCCGCACTTGTAATTCAAATGTTATATCTTGTGGTCCAGGCCCTAACGACCACAGAAGTCGATAATCAGGACTAAGCATAGCCGTATGCGACCAACGCGCAGTTTTACCGTATTGCACTACACACAACACACTGAACACTTGAAATAACTTGGAACCCATAGTACTAGTTACCCCAGACCATCATCTGAAACAGAAAAACACCTATTCATTTCACTAGTTTGATTACTGATTTATTTGTATATATGTATAAATGTATACACAAATTAAGTTCATGTTGTACAAAGAAATAATGTAAGTTACAATCTTTGTCTTCTATGAAATAATGAAATCTTAATGCCTTAATTTAGCTTACAGTGATAACCTTTATTATGTCTCTATTGTTGCTTTTATTGTAGATGAATGATTTCGATTACTACAAGCTATTACTTTTATTTTATGACGAAGTGGTTTTTCTTCGTGAAGCCATGAAACCAAAGTTCAACGAGTACACCATATATTTAAATACGTAAATAGAACATGAGAAAATTCAATTGTTCATTTCAACAAAAGCTAAGAACGAAGTACTTGGTTTTTATTATTATTAAAGAGGCCGTGATTATTAAAAGGTTTTGCTAATATTGCAGACTAAGTGAAACAGCAGTTTTCAGACTTATCCATTATACTGATAGAATGATTTACCGGTTTATAACGAATTAATAACAGTGGGGTTTTTGTAGGGCCTACAATTTTTCCGACACACTATCAATTAGTTCCATGTTATTGGTTGGTCACAATACAATGTAACGAACTAATGGGTAAAAAAATCTTTGTCATGCAGTTTATTAAGTACGTCGAATTGTGTTACGTCAGTAATTAGAAAATTTCTTCTCTTACAAGAAAAATTGTAAGGAAAATATATCCTTAGCAAAAACTGTATACATCATACATCAATTTTTAAAATTAAACAAACTTTATTGAAAATCCACACGGTAAAAAGTAATAAATTGTTATAGATACTATAAACTGTCCTTATAAGTAAAATTATTCACCAGTGTTAAATGAGAATATTAATAATACATCCATTTTTACTGCAGGTGAAAATCATCAAAAATAAAATTTACGACAATAATGTATTTCGTATTATATGTAGAAGAAAACACTTCAAATTGTATTTTGAAAAATCACATATGAAAATAATAATAAAAAAGATGTTTGGACAGAACTTCCCTCGCACCTGAAGCACAATTAAAACACATCCAGCATTTTCGCAAAACTATAAAATTTGATGTTGCGAGTTTTATTTAATTTTTATGAGAATCCCTATAAGTTGAAATAAACATGTGTATGTAATGTTGAACTAAATGCAAAGAAGCGTGCTACGCGTATGTTTCAAATGAGTTTATACTTTACAAAATTTCGTGATGACGTCAACAACATTTTTGTAACATGTATATAAACTTAGTAACACTGATGCAGTATAATACTAATAATAACAGTAGTATGTTCTTTCTGGGAAAATGGAGTGAGCCGTTCCTGATTTAATCAATAAAAAAAATTAATCATTCATTATTTTTTTAAGTCACCTGTATAAAAAAATTCCAAAAAATATTAATGCAACCATAATTCGCAAGTAAAACTCATCATATTTTGTACATGTTAGGTAGAAATTATTCGGCAAAATCTTGAGAGGACGTCATCAATTTTTGTGGGGATTAAACGGATATATTTATTGATTTATTCAATAAAATTAATTGACATACGAATTGATATAGAGAAATTTATAAAGGAAACCTCAGACGACACAAATTTTGTAACAAAGGTGTGTTAAATAAGTTACAGATTTTTAGTTTTACCATGTTTTTATTTTAGGTTGCATTAATTATAGGATATTGTGGAGTTTGCTGGTGTGAAAAGCATACCAATATGTCTGTAGATAACATTGATTCTAAGATCTTCCTAAAACTAAAGCAAATACACCAAAATTATTGGCTATTACTGATGAGGTTCGGATAAATCTTTTAAAGAAGTATGCTAAACTTCTAGCAAACCACGCAAGCTGCCAACGGTTTTTTACTTCCCGAGCGTAAGCAAAGGAAGTATTGTAATCGAGTCCGTCGGCCGACTCTCTACTTTTACGTTTTCTCGATCTTTCATGACCCCTAGTTTCTTATTAGCACGATGGATTGGTACACATATTGGGATTGATAAAATGGGTCAAATGCCGAAGATGAATTTTCTAAACCTTCCTATCCTGAACTGTTTTATGGACATTGTTTCAGGCGCCCTTCTACGTCACATTTTACCAATCGAACCGGTGATATATTAACTATTAAACGTCATGGGGGTTGGAAATTGTCAACTGTAGCAGAGAGCTACGTGGAGGCTTCTTTAAATAAGAAAACTGAAGTTACTCGAAGGGTTTCGACTCAATCAGAGGGTTCTTCTTCAAAGCAATGTGAAAGCATAAAACTATTTGCTGAAGTACTGGAATCACTACAAACTGATACTAGTAGCTGTAGGGGCATACCGTAATTGAAAAAAATATTCCGTTGTCAAGTCATGAAAATTTACCTTCGTTTAAAATCACAGCTGCAAAAACTGTGTTATGAACATAAATATTTATAAATAATTGCTAGTTTGGTAAAGAAAATAAAGAAACTTAGAATGCTCACAGATTACCTTTTTTTTCAAATAACCACATTACAAAAGAAAAACAATGATGCGTGGCAAATAGTAACTTTTATGAAATAGAAATGTATCTCTGTCCTTCTTGTTTTTGACGGCAGGTATTTTTTACTTCCAGTATGGCGATCCTGTTACTGTCTTCTTGCTGTCGTAAGCTCAAATCGTAAACAGTAAACTTTTTTTGGCAGTTCCTACATTTGGTAACGAAAATTATTAGTCTCGCGCTATCTTTGATAGGTTAGGTTCCACTCTGTCGAACTCCGGGCACAGGCAATTTGCTGTATTTTCTAAAAGTAATAATAGATCTAGTGACTTTAGAAAACAGTGCTTTTTAATAAAATTCCAAAAACCCCGGATTAAAAAAAATTAATTTGACACATTTTCAAAGTATGGAATGATTTCTGTTATCTAGAATCTCTTGGATTTATTTTGTTAGAAGCGCATTAGAATCCGAATAAAGAAATTAAATTTATATAACTTTGTGATTATCAGTTTCCATCGAAGATTGTATGAATAGGTATAAAATTTGTAAACCATAACAGAAATGTCAAATGATTCTATACATAGCATTATCTAATGGCTGAGAAAGACGCTTTCAACATAGATCTAAAGACAGAGAAAGCACATGAGACGGGCTGTCAGTCTTTAATTCCAAGAAAATTGAAGGGAAGATACGAAACGGTGTATGAAAGCTTAAAAAAATGGTTGTGTGAGAAGAAAGTGGTGATGACTGAAACAACTTTCGTGTTTTTTTTTTGTTCAGAGAAGGTTAAGACTGGAAGCTTTTGGGCACAGTATGCTATGCTTCATGGTACCATAACATTAAATTAATATTGATATATCACAATTCAAGAAACTAGGGGCATTTCTAAAGAAGAAAAATATTGCACCTTCAAAAAAAGGTGTTTACCAGAGAAGAGATAAATTTCTGTTAGAAGCTCGTGATAAAATATACTGTGTTGAAAGTTGTTATGATAATGGGTGTTACTGGAGCCTTAGGGCCGAATTCTGTAAAGTATAAAGGCACTTTGGTAAAAGGATTGTCCTTTACATAAAGATATTCCTATTCTCTAAAACGTAAAGGATCCTTATATATCCGTTGCATAAAGGTGAAGTCCTTTATAGTTTCTCTTGTGCAACGTATGGTCATATGTGTCACTTTATGCAAATTATCTGTCAGTTTCATTAGTTTTATATAGTGACCGTTTCTAAATAAAAGGGAAGAAATGGAGAATCTGTGATTATTTATCCTAGATAAAAGGCAATATTCAGACTGACCTATCAACGCCCAGACCAAACCGCTAATGCTAAAAAGTTGAAATTTGGAGAAAATGTTCATTTTATACTGGAGGCATCGTTTAAGGAGGGATTTCTCGAAATGCATCCCCTAAGGGGGTGAAAAGGGGTGATAAAAATTGTACATGATCAATAGGTATGTCTACTGTAAAATTTACATCGTTACGTGAAACCTGGTACATTTTACTCCTCTTCAATACAAATAAGAAAATACGTATTTAAGCATTTTCGGAGATTCGACCGCTAAGGAGGTGAAAAGTGGTGTCTAAGTTTGGGCGGCTAAGTTTGTATAGGAACCATATTTCTATTATAAATTGAAATTTTTACGTGAAACTTGGTGTTAATGTTCTTCAACACAAATAATAAAACCCGTCTTTAAGCATTTTCTAAAATTCGACCCATAAGAGGGTGAAAGGTGGAGGTTAAGTTTGTATGGGAAAATATTTCTATTGTATATTTAAATTTTTACGTGAAACTTTGTATTAATGCTCTTCGACACAAATAATGAAACACGTATTTAAACATTTTCCGAGATTCAACCCCTAAGGGGATAAAACAGGGTGTAGCTAAGTTTGTATGAGAAAAATATTTTTATGGTGATGTTTACTTAAAACTTGGTATTAATGCTCTTCAGCACAAATAATAAAACGTATTTAAGCATTTTTCAAGAATCAACCCCTAAAGGGGTGAAATATAGTGGCTAGATTTGTGTAGGAATATTTCTATTATAAATTTAAATTTTTACGTGAAACTTGGTATTAATTGTCTCCAACACAAATAATGAAACCCGTATTTAAGCATTTTCTAAAATTCAACCCCAAAGGGGGTGAAATGTGGAGCGTAAGTTTGTATGGTAAAATATTTCTGTTGTATATAAATTTACATGTTTACATGAAAGTTGATATTAATGCTCTTCAACACAAATAATGAAATACGTAATTGAGCATTTTCCGAGATTCAACCCCTAAGGGGGTGAAAAGTGGTGGCTAAGTTTATATGGGAAAATTATTGCTATTGTAAATTTTTGACGTGGAAATTAGTATTAATGCCCTTCAACACATTTTCTACTTGAAGGTTGGTAATAATGCTCTTCAACACAACGAATCGTCTACGCGAACGAAGCCGCGGGCGAAAAGCTAGTTGCTGTATATTCGACTTACTTACAAATTTTGGCAGCAATCACAGTAAATGCATATTATAATAAAATCAACGCGCAAAAATATA